GGCTGTGCTTTAGGATCCCTGGGGAACTTGAAAAAGAAAGCCCCACCTGAACCCAGTAAAGCAACTCTCTAGTGTGGGGCCCAAGACCATGGTTTTAAAAGCTCCCCCGGGGATTCCAATATGTTGTCAAAGATGCTAACCTCTGATTCTGAGTGACTTCCACCCTTCACAGCACATTAGATTGACCTAGGGAACTTGGGGAAAAAAAAAATCCCATGCTCAAGCCACATTTAGCACCCATTAAGTTAGACCCAGGCACCAAATTTTTCTTTGAAGTTCCTCAGGAAACTCTATATTGTGCCGGCAAATTTGAGAACCAGGTCATGGCCAGTGATTCTCAACCTTTCATATGTACAGTCTTGTGTTGCAAAATAACCACTTGGCGAACAACCACCATAAATGATGATGGTCCCCAGTGCCTGGTATTTTTACTGTTACTTTTATGTATTTAATATGTTTAGATACATAAGTAATTGATATTGTATTGCAGCTGCCTTTAGTATTAAATATAGCAACATGCTGTACAGGTGTGTAGCCTAGGAGCAGGTGTATAACCTGGGTATGTCACAAGCTGCATACAGTCTAGGTTTATGTACATACTTCTCTGATGTTCACATGAGGATGAAACTACATAACAACTGATTTCTCAGAATTCATCCTTGTTATTGACACATGACTGTTAAAATAACCTAGGACCTTGTTTAAAAAAATGCAGACTCTGACTTAGTCATCCTGGAATAATTTAATAGTTTGCGTTTCTAACAAGCATCTCAGTATTGCCTGAGCTGTTAGTGCATCGATTGTACTTTGAGTGGCAAGACTGTGTAGCACAAGGAAGAATCTATTACTTGACCTACTTGGAAAAAACAGAAAAGTTCTCTGCTACCTAACCTCCCCTTGCAAAATACCTCATTGTCACACTCAGCCAGGACCTGGTCATATTCACTCAGAGCAACCAAGAAAATGATGGAGGTGACACTCTCGAAGCAATGAATCCATTTCCGTCGTTCAGATCGCTGGCCACCAACATCCACCATCCTGCTCAATACAGACAGAAGACACAAAGGTTGGAATACATCACTTTGGAGGAAAGGATACAAGTCGCTATACCATGGAATCAGTGATCTCTAGAGTCCTCAATTTTTCAGAGTGCAAAGGAATCCTAAGTTTAACACGTTTGAGCACCACTGTTTTAGGCAATGAGGGACCACTGAATGTTTCCAAGAGCAGGAGGCCAAAAATGTAAATGAAGTTTCTGAAGACAGAGGTGACTCAGATGGCATACAGAGGAACCTTCGTGAGGACACTGGTTAGGATCCTGCTGCAATAGTTCAGGAAGAAAACACAAATTTCACTTGGGTTTGAATCCAACCACCCACTGTAGGGTCAAAGGATAGCAGACACAAAAGGAACAGAGTCAATCTTCCAGGTCTCTTCAGCCTTCTTTGGGCCCAATCTTGATTTCAGAGTTTCTCTAATTTATCCACAAATCCTTGCATTAACTCAATGCCACCCCTTCTTCCCTACAAATACCTGCAAGTGCTTTCTGCCTGGTATGGAAATCCAAAGCCTTTACCTGTGTCTTTGGGTGAGATTTCAGGGACTAATAGCCCAAAGATCACCGACTTGAAAGGCCCAGGGGTCAGGCAGTTCATGAGTCAAATGGAAAAGCTGCAGAGTGGAAAAGCTTATATGCTTGAGAGGTAGGGGCTCTGTCTGAAGGGATGGTTGCTATATCAGCAGTTAAGCGCTGCTGGACAGAGCGCAAGCTCACCATTACCAGGTCCTTGGATGTTTAAAAAGAACTTCGACATCAACTGTTTTAGGTGAAACATCCCAATTTTTAAATGTTAGCTCAGATTTTTTTTTTTTACTACTGAACAGCAAAGAGAATACATCTGTGGGTCAGATACAGCCCACATATTCTGTTCCTTAACTATTGTCTAGAAAGGTGCTTGAGAAGGCCAGAAATCTAACCCTGCAGGTGCAAACACTTTACAATGCTGTGCTCACGACTGGCTGTCCCACCTCGTCCCACCACACAGCAAGGAATGGAACTGGGAAGGAACACTGACTGCAATTGTCAAAAGCTTGGGTTCCATAAGGTCATTCTCTAAAGACTTTAATCTCAATGATCAGAATTCTTCAGCCAGAGAGTGAGCAGGGGGAGGTGTAGAGCTATAAACTAATAGATGTCACTGGTGGATGATGTTAAACCTACTTACCAGTCTCTAGGAAACAAGGCAAACCCATTTATCAAAGCATGAGGCAGATACTTAGAATAAATTTCTTTTTAAAAAAACAAAACAAATGCAAGCTTTGGGAGGCCCTCACTCTGAGAAGGTTTGGGAGTTGCAAGCAACCCTTGGTTCTCAAAAGGTTTAAATATGGACACACAAGGGGCGGCCATTAAAATCAGGGATCTGCTAACAAATACACAGGATCTCTTCTGAGTGCCTCCCCAGCACTACGGTTCAGAAGAAACACTGATATATAACTGTAGATAATATAGGACCTGGATATGGGAGAACTGGGCCTGTGTAATAATAATTTTTGGGAGGAACAAGGGAAATAAATGCAAAAGTGCTTTGAAATTTGCAGTGCTGTGTATATGCCCCCACATTATTATTCATTTTCCCATAATTAAATGCAGTGAAGACCTACCCAATTTGTCATAAAAATGCATCCTACATTTGTAGTGGAAATTCATACGTTTACACAGCTGTAAGCAGTTTATCCATATCTGAGGTAATTTTACTATAAATTTTTGTATTCTTATTTTTCTCTTTTTTTAAGGATAAATCTTAAAGAAATAGAGAAAAAGAGAAATATTATTCAACATTAGGGAAAGTTAGTATATTCAGTTAGTATATTCAGTATGTAGGTGACATATATATATCTGTATGCATGTTACACATAAGATGATTCCAGTTCCCAGAAAGAAATTTCTTTCCTAAGGGCAAAATGGAGTCCCTCTCAATTCTAGAACTTGAAACCTACTACAGTCGTACATGCCTTGGGACCAAGAGGGTCATTCTGCCTATCACATGTAACCCCTACTTAGGGATAACACATTTAGGCCTTGGGCAGACAGATTCTTAAATGAGCACTCCCAGAAGACAAACTTACCGAAAAATGATGTTTTCCAAGTCGAATGGATACTCAATGATGCCTGTGGTGGGCACTCGGACACGAAGCACATCTTGCTGTGTTGGCACAAACGATGGCATGGCGATTCGGTCAATGTCAGTCAGGTAACTGTGATGTGAACAAATGAGAAGCCAAGACTCCTTTTAGAGAAGGGAGAAAAATGCCCATCCTACCCAAGGGAAGTCACCCCCAGCTCACAGTGCTACCTACTAAATTCTATCGCTGACTTTCTTGAGAGTCAACTGAGGGTCAGGCCGCAAGCTCTATCACAGAGCTGCCGCAGTCTGGCTGGGCACAATTCAGGAGCCACTTGTCAAAAGACGCGAACTTTATTTTTAGAACCACACACGCCAAACAAAACAGCTCCTCAGGAAAAACCCTCAGAGCCCAACTGCCACCACCGGCTTCCCACAAGCCTCTCAACCTCCCTCACTCCTCCTACTCTTGAGGCCGATTGGCTGGGTCGCGTGGGCGGAGCCAAAAAAGTCCCCCAATGAGCAGCTCTGTAGTCTGAAAGGGCGGGGAAACAGTCCAATGAGCATCACCGCAGAGGAGCCAATCAGCTAGATGTTGCTGGGGCCGCTGTGAGCCAATCATCAGCTGGCAGTCTGAAAGTTTGCTAGGGCCCCTTTGGCTGTGGCTCTCAACACACAGCTGTGGAGACAGCAGGTCTGGAGGACTAGGATGTGGGAAACAGCTCCACCTAGGGACTCTGACCTGCCACCCAAAGGGTCCTCCCACCTGCCCTCAAGGAAGAGCATTAGGTAATGTAGATGCTGCTCTTCAAAGCTTCTGCTCAACAAATTAGATGGAATTTATAAAAAAAAAAAAAACACGGATGTAAAGCAGGCCAACAGGAAATTCTTTCAAAGAAACAAGAAGAAAAAGTTTTCCTGTTAAAAACAGGAAACATCTCAAAATAATCCAAAATTTGTCTTAGATTATTGTGGACATGTATTAAAGACTTGAACTTAAAATAGATCTTTTTTCTAAGGTGAAATTAGAGGAAACTCTTCAAAAAATGATAAGGCTCTTATAAAAGTCATTTTTAGAAAAATGACTAAATTTTTTAAGGCCCTGGCCAATAATGGAGTTGGTGATTCTGAGCTCCTTCCAAGCCAAGGGCAGCCCTGCCTTCTCCCAGCACAGCATGGATGCCAGAGACTGAGCAGGTCAGCATGAAAGTAAACCAACAGGAACAAGGCCAGCCTGGCTCACTGGACAGCCTGAAATTCAGTTTAAGAAGCCAGGCAGTAGGCAGTCTTCTGTGGCCCACCCCATGCCCAGATACAAGCCCAGGGTTTATTACTGTCTTTGCTGAGCAGTACAGTGAAGGTTTCACTGTCCACAGTTTCAGTTATCCAAGGTCATTCGTGATCCAAATGGGAAATTCCAGAAATAAACACCTCATGAGGATCTTTTGGTTTGTTTGGGATAAGGTCTCACTATGTGGCCCAATCTGGCGTCAAGTGATCCTCCTGCCTCAGCTTCCTGAGTAGCTGTGACTGCAGGTGCCACCATACCCAGCAACAATTCATAAACTAAGTCATAATCTGTTCTGAGCAGCATAAGATCTGGTGTCATTCTACTCTATCCTGCTGTGGACATGAATCATTCATCCCCTTTTCTGGTTTGGGGCATAGTATATACCTGTTAGACGCTCAGTAGCTGTCTATTACTAGATCAACTGTCACAGTATCACTGCTATGTCCAGGTAACTAATTTAACTAAATAATGTTCCCAATAATTGTTCTATTTTATTGTTGTTAATTTCTCACCTGCCTAGTTTATAAATGAAACTTTATCATAGTTAGGTACATATAGGAAAAAATAGCGTATACATAGGGTTCAATATAATCTGCAATTTCAGGCATCCACAGGGGGGTTCTTAGAATGTACTCCCCATGATAAGGGGGAATCCTGTACGTTGCTGTGTGATTATTTTATTTATATCTCATTCCACCAGGCAGTACCTTTCCTGAGAGTAGAAGGCATTGATTGCCCTATAACCCTTACCACTGTGCCAGGCACATTACAAGCATTCATCAAATTTTGGTGAAGTAAACACATGTCCATTTGAGTAGACAAAACTAGCAGATGGTTGTGAGATGCTGATGTAGACCAAAGAAGTGCACAGGTGCCTGCATCCTGCAGATTCTCAAGATCAGACAACCATCACGTTTATGAGTACCATTTTTATCTATGGCAACTCTGTCCATCCCTCTCTCAATGAACTTGCCTCGGTTTTCTGGGTTACACTGAATTCTCCAGCAGTTCTATTGGGTCTTCTCCAAATGGATCAAGAGCCATGGCCAATTCCCAGGTCCTTCACAGAGTAAATAACACCATGCAGTCTCAGGTAGGATCAGGAAGGCCATGGCTACCTGGCCTTGAGCTGTCCCTGGCTCATCAGGTTGTCCAGGGCAGCCCAGGGCAACCCATACCTCCTTCTTGAACAATTTCTTCCTCCATCTCTTTTCTTTGCCGATCTGACACCTATTGGAGTTCCTTTTATTTTCCTTCCTTGATGGTATTTTGGGCCCATCTGGATTAAGGACATTGAACACTCAGCCTAGGACAGACTCCAAAGGGAAGCTGTTGACCACAGAGATAACATTTCCTTTCCTGTACACTGCTTCGTTCAGCCCATTGGGCAAACTCCCACCTAAACCAGCTCAGAGGGCAATGGCACCTGAAGGGAAAGGGATGGGAAGAGGAAAGAAAAGGGATGGATCTTGGGAAAGTATCTCAAGGCCACCATGATGATGATGTGGGACAAGGCAGAAAGCTGAGCTGTAAAAGCAAGGATCACCACCTGTTCAAGTAAGACCAAAGCATTTAGCCCAGTGACCTGGCTGAAGGATGCATTTCCTTGGGAAATTGTTAGATTCTGCGATCTCTATGAGATGGTTTGCATGAAGGACTGTCTAAACAGAAATTTTTCCACCTTTGGGAGTTAGTTATTTAAAACTACAGCTTTATCTATCCAAAATGTGGTATGTAGGTCATGGAGTCAGCTGAGATTTCTGGATGCCGGGCCCAGCAGTACTTGGCTCTGCCACGAGAGGGCAGCACCAGATCAGCAGCTGACTACCACCGGTGGACCCTGATTTTAGGTTTTAATGCAGTTGGACCTGCTGTCTTCTGATCAGGCAACCAGAAAGACAGAGATATGGAAAGGAAGAAAGTGAAAAACCAGAAACAAGTGTATTCCTTGCTTAAATCATTTCAACACCCCAAATCATATCCACCCACTAACAGAACCTCAAATTTGAGCATTTTATTGAAAATTAAACACATAACAGTGAGGAAAAATTGGGTCTCTGCCAAGAAGGAAATTTGGGGATCCTCAAAGATGGAAGGTTTTCAGGGGATGGTAAGAACACCAAAAAGTAAGGGAGTGATACAAAAAAACAGAGGGAGGTGGTGTTGCCACTGAGCCCTTACACTTAAGCAAGCAGCAAGAAGCTCCCCTGAAGCATGACTGTGTTTGCCGAATGCCCCCCCCCCCCCCCCCCCCCCCCGCCGCTAAGGCAGCTGTGGCCGGAGCTCTGTACTCACTATTTGGCAGAGTCTGACAGCTGGTACTCCCGCCTCCTGTCATAACACTCCTGGATTCCTGGATCCTGCCAGAGCTGCTTGATGGCTTCCACCTGGTCCCTGCAGAGCACTGAGACCTTGTCAACTTCCACTTCTTTGATTATCTGGGCATTTTCCTACTCAAAGAAAAGAATTTTTCATTAGACAAAAAAGTCAGCTGCTAGGTGATTTGAGGATAAAGACTTGCCCTGGCCCATAGATCTCACTAGGTGTGGAGATGGAGAGGCTCATGGCTGGGGCCATTGACAGCCTTGCCACTCAGCTGCAGCCACAGTAAATGGAGGTGATGCAGCTGTTCAATTCAGCAGAAAGCAACAGAGTCCACGACCTTCAGGTCTAGCAGTGCTTGGGGATGGTTCCACCCGCATGCAACTCCACGTGGTGAACAGACACACAGAACTATCATCCAACTAGCAAACATGCTGCCCATTTGAGTATCTACAAAACCAGCAATTTAAAAATAACATCATAACAAGGGTTGGTTAGTGGAAGCGGGTCCTTGCTGGGTGCAAGCAATAAGGGAGTGCACTGTCTTGGAGAATCAAAAACAATACCATCATTTGCTTTTTCTTCTCTGTCCTTTATTTAAAAAAAAAATTATAATAGATGACTTTCTAGAGTAGTTTAAAGGTCATAGCAAAAATGAGGGGAAAGTACAGAAAGTTCCCACACAGGCTGCTTTTATTATCATGAGTCAGTGATTAAATTCTTTCCCACTGTGTGAACCACCCCTATTGTACCCCCTCGGCACACCACTGAATTAGCTATATTTATTATTGTCATGATTATTAAATAATAATTGCTCTAATACTGTTGTTTGATTATTGCAGTAATTGTTATGGTCATTATTCCTAGAATTATTACTACTAGAACAGTTACCATTTATTATCTACTTACCGTGTGCCAAAGACACTATATAACATCATCTCACTTAATCAGTGGAAGGTCCACACAAGGCCAGAGATCCTTCCAAACCTTAGAAAATGAAAATGATCCCATTGGCCTGCATCCACAACATTTCCTAGAGACTCAACATCCCTTCCTTGGCTGTAAGTTGCAGCAGACAAGCAAAGCCTGCTGAGGGAGACAAGACCCTGGTCCCTTCTCCCCCCACCCCCATCTTCCTGCATCTCACACCAATTACGTCATGGAGATCTGGCCATTCAACGGCAGATGTGGGTTGGCAAAGTGATCATTTGGGGCTGTGAGCTCAAATACATATGGCACCCTGTGAACGTTGCTTTCAGCTTGCATTGTTCATCCAACAGGAAGCTGGAGCAGGAAGTCTCATAGACTCACTTGGCTCAGAGTGAACCTCTGAGGGCTGTATTTATAGAAACATGCCTTTGCCCCACATCCATTGTAAAACTGAATAAACTCTCCTCCCAGGCTGTGGGATCCTCAGCCAGGTAGGATCTCAAGCTAGAAAGAGGCAGGATGGATTGGCAGAAAGTGCCCTGGACCAGGAGTCAGGACCATCAGTTCCAAGCCATGCAGTTGGGAGTTAAAAAATTCCCTGTCTTGGTGTCCTCATTTGTTTAAAAAGAAATACTTAGTGATTTTCAGGGGAACCTGAATTATAAAGTACTAAATCTTACATTTTTTTTTAGCATTAGCCTTAGTACTGTAGCAGTTGTCTTGTAAACAATATATATATATATATATATATATATATATATATATATATATATATATATAAAATGTATTGATAGTCCTTAAACCTCAACATCTCACGCCTCCTGCTGGCACACTGTGTCATCTGCACATTCCTGGTTAGAGAGATGAGGAAGACATGTCCCTGACAGAGGAAGCCACAAGCAGAAGCCTCCTACTTCTTCCCTTTCTCTAGCTACCCACTCTCCCCACGAACAGGATCAAGTTCTACTCTCTAAATTTAAAATCTGTTTTCTTCTTGGTCTTCAAGACAACTCAGGAAGTGCCCCAAGAACAGAGCCAATGTCTTGCTTGTTCTTATAGCCCAGAGCCTAGTGCAGTGCCTGGCAAATAATAGGTGTCTCTGCTGATGTGCGCATTCAATATACATTTGTGATACATATAAAATTTACCTAACAGAAAAATCCTAAGTAACCAACAGCCAAAGAATGCAAGGGCAGGGTGCCAGGAGCCTGTGCAGGTGGTCATGGGAGCACAAAGGAGTTTGGGGATGTTTTCGAGGGGGACATGCCCTGATGGGTCTTGGCTATTTGTCTTCCCGATTCTGCCCCTGGTTGAAGGTGGCATTCTGGTGGCAGTTGGCATCCTTGTTTCTTGTGCCCTATGTCTCTTAGGCTGCACTCTTAAATTTACCTGTTAAATGCAACTTAGCCACCAAGAATCAGTGCTGTGACAGGGATGTTACAAATATATTTCTCTCTTCCTTATGACCCAAGGATTGTACCTTCTGGTATATGAAATGAGGGAAAATAACTTTTATTTTTTTGGAGAAGAAATTTTTAAAATCCTGTAATTCACCACCTTCCCTTTTACCCTCCTATGGTGATTATAGAAGAGTCCAGATGGACCCTCTATCAACCAAGGTTCCCAAGAGATTTCAATGAGCAGAGATACCCTAACACACCACAGCAGACATGTTGCATGAGTGAGAACTCGACTTTTAAGTTGTAATCAACAAGGAGTTGAGTCAGCTGAACTTTAGGGACAGTTTTCTACTACAGAATAACCTGCTGTGTGTATCCTAACACATGCTGCAGCGGAGAAGCCCAGCCCTGGGCTCTCCCAGTGGAGAGAGAGCAGATGTTAGGGAGGTGCCAGAGAGGAATGAGGGTTTCCACAGAGGCTACCCGGGGAAGGAGTGGATCTGAGCTCTCTTTGTAGGCCCAGCCAGAAGAGAGATTGTTCAGCTAAGTGAGGGGATTTGGGGAGACTCTGGTTTGAAAGAGGAGGAGAGCTCGGGCTCTTGAGAAGCTCAGTAGGAGAGGGGTTTGGAATAGACTGCACTTACAAGGCCCCGAAGCAATTCAAGTTCAGAAAACTCTTTTCTGTCATCAGCTCCTTCTGGTTGGTTTTCCTACCGCCTACCAATGAAAATCCTTTTCTCTTTTTATCTTTTCTTTTTTTTTTTAATTTCTCATTTTGAAATAATTGAAGACTTAACAAAATGTGGAGCAAATGGTATAAAGACTTCCTCTATGCCTTTCTTTCAGGAGTGGTCTAATGTTAATAGCGTGCTACCTTCCTTATCATTCAATTCCCCCTCCAACATGCCCGTGCACCTAGACACACATTCGCCCACGCCTGCCTAACACACACGAATATCTAGCATAAGTTGCAGACACCTTACCTCTATTTGTAAACACTTTAGTATGGTTTTCTCCTGCGTAATTACAGTACAATAATCAAAATCATGATATCAGCTTTGACACAACATTATTATCTAACTTTCAGACCTTGCTCAAAGTTTGCCATTTATTCCATTAACATCCTTTATCTTGTCTGGAACCCAATCTAGGGTCACATGTGTCACATCTCTTTAGTTTCCATCTGGAAATTGTTTTTCCAGATGAAAAATTGTTTTTGTCACTCTGGGCAAGAAGAGCCAAACAAGTGTCTATTTTTTTAATTGCAAGTCATTATGAGGATGGCTGGTAGAGACAGTTGAGGCCCCAGAGAATGTTCCAGCAGCAAGTATCAGGGAGGCTGGCAGAAGGAAAGTGATCTGCTGTGGAGCACACCTGTGATTCCAGCTACTCAGGAGGCTGAGGGAGGAGTATCACAAGTTCTCTAAGTTACCTTAGCAACTTACACACCATCTCAAAATAAAATTTAGAAAGAAAAAAGGCCTGGGGTGTAACTCGGTGGTAGACTGCTTGCCTAGCATGCACAAGATCTTGGGTTCAATCCCCAGCACTACAAAAAAAAATTCCTTTTTTAAAACAAAAATGTTTATTGAAATATGAGATAAATGACTTTTGTACATGATCAGCAATGACTGAACATTATAAGAGTGTGGTATTGTGCATATTTCCCTCTGATGTGTCTCAAATGCAGGAGCTTGGGCATTTCCAAGGGTATCTTCAAACTGTCTCGACAATGCGCAGACAGAGCAAGGGGCCCCCATGCAACAGGAGAAAGCTTTATGACATTTTAAGTCTGGCTTCTTCATCTCATAGAAAGAGGGGGCAAATGTGAGAAGACGATCAAGGTTGGGAGAATGTCACGAGGCAGGTAGGGGATGTGCTGAGATAGAGGTGACCAGCATCTATAAGTGATGTTCAGGAAGCAGATGAGTTAAGTGTCTGCAGCTTATGGTAAGTAGAGCCCCAAGCCAAAGTAGCACACTGAGCTGAAATTGCCTGGAACACTTTTTTAACCAAAAAGGAAAAAAAAAATCAACCTCGAAGAGTATTACAGGAGCAAACCCAGGGTGTTCAGAAATGTAACCAGGCTCTTGAAGCACAGAGCTCAATGCTGACTTTTCCTCTTTTTTTTTTTTTTCTTCACTCTCAGATCATTAGTTTCACTGCTTTGAAGGGGGAACACAAAAACAGATGTCCTCCATGTGTGTTCTGCTCAGAAATTCCCAGGCCTGTAGTAAAAGGAGATGCTGATGGAGTAGCGCCTTGCTGGCTTCATGCAGGGACCCACGGCTGCTGGTGACAGTCCCTGTCAGGCACAGTGAACCCTTCTGGCTGGGACCCAGAGCCCAGCAGGCTGCCTAACCTCCACCAGGCCCTCTCTATGCAGTTCCCACATCATTAACATGCCCAGACAGTGGGGCCTGCGCCTTCCCTGCAGGGCTGACTTTCTCACTCACTAGAGGCAATGTCACCTCCCCAAATCAGAGGGCTAGAGCTCTTGGTTCTTTGGAGAGATAATTATACATTTTCATAATTTTTGTTGATGTATTTTAACTGACATATCAAAATTGTATTTATGGCTTATAGCATAATTTTTTAATATGTCTGTACATTGTAGAATGACTAAATCAAGTTATTTAACATAATATTACCTCACACACTTTTTTGTGGTGAAAACCCTTAAAATATATTCTAGCATTGTTCAAGTACATAATACACTGTTATTCACTTAGCACCAGGAGGTACAGTAGATCTTGAACACCTTCCTTTTGTCTAGCTGACATTTTCATTGAAATTAA